TGTGCTGTGCTGTGTGCTGTGTGCTGTGCTGTGTGCTGTGCTGTGTGCTGTGCTGTGCTGTGTGCTGTGTGCTGTGTGCTGTGTGCTGTGTGCTGTGTGCTGTGTGCTGTGCTGTGTGCTGTGCTGTGTGCTGTGTGCTGTGCTGTGCTGTGTGCTGTGTGCTGTGTGCTGTGTGCTGTGTGCTGTGTGCTGTGCTGTGCTGTGTGCTGTGTGCTGTGTGCTGTGTGCTGTGTGCTGTGTGCTGTGCTGTGTGCTGTGCTGTGTGCTGTGCTGTGTGCTGTGTGCTGTGCTGTGTGCTGTGTGCTGTGTGCTGTGCTGTGCTGTGTGCTGTGCTGTGTGCTGTGCTGTGTGCTGTGCTGTGCTGTGTGCTGTGTGCTGTGTGCTGTGCTGTGTGCTGTGCTGTGTGCTGTGTGCTGTGCTGTGCTGTGTGCTGTGTGCTGTGCTGTGCTGTGTGCTGAGTGCTGTGTGCTGTGCTGTGTGCTGTGTGCTGTGTGCTGTGTGCTGTGCTGTGTGCTGTGTGCTGTGTGCTGTGCTGTGCTGTGCTGTGTGCTGTGCTGTGCTGTGTGCTGTGTGCTGTGTGCTGTGTGCTGTGTGCTGTGTGCTGTGCTGTGTGCTGTGTGCTGTGCTGTGCTGTGTGCTGTGTGCTGTGCTGTGTGCTGTGCTGTGCTGTGCTGTGTGCTGTGCTGTGTGCTGTGTGCTGTGCTGTGTGCTGTGCTGTGTGCTGTGCTGTGCTGTGTGCTGTGCTGTGTGCTGTGTGCTGTGCTGTGCTGTGTGCTGTGTGCTGTGTGCTGTGTGCTGTGTGCTGTGTGCTGTGCTGTGTGCTGTGTGCTGTGTGCTGTGCTGTGTGCTGTGCTGTGTGCTGTGTGCTGTGTGCTGTGTGCTGTGTGCTGTGCTGTGCTGTGTGCTGTGTGCTGTGCTGTGTGCTGTGCTGTGCTGTGTGCTGTGTGCTGTGTGCTGTGTGCTGTGTGCTGTGCTGTGTGCTGTGCTGTGTGCTGTGCTGTGCTGTGTGCTGTGCTGTGTGCTGTGTGCTGTGCTGTGTGCTGTGCTGTGTGCTGTGTGCTGTGTGATGTGCTGTGTGCTGTGCTGTGCTGTGTGCTGTGCTGTGTGCTGTGCTGTGCTGTGTGCTGTGTGCTGTGCTGTGTGCTGTGTGCTGTGTGCTGTGCTGTGTGCTGTGCTGTGCTGTGTGCTGTGTGCTGTGTGCTGTGTGCTGTGTGCTGTGTGCTGTGCTGTGTGCTGTGCTGTGTGCTGTGTGCTGTGCTGTGCTGTGTGCTGTGCTGTGTGCTGTGTGCTGTGTGCTGTGCTGTGTGCTGTGCTGTGTGCTGTGCTGTGTGCTGTGTGCTGTGCTGTGCTGTGTGCTGTGTGCTGTGCTCTGTGCTGTGTGCTGTGTGCTGTGCTGTGTGCTGTGTGCTGTGTGCTGTGCTGTGTGCTGTGTGCTGTGTGCTGTGTGCTGTGTGCTGTGTGCTGTGTGCTGTGTGCTGTGCTGTGTGCTGTGCTGTGTGCTGTGTGCTGTGTGCTGTGTGCTGTGTGCTGTGCTGTGTGCTGTGTGCTGTGTGCTGTGTGCTGTGTGCTGTGCTGTGTGCTGTGTGCTGTGCTGTGTGCTGTGTGCTGTGTGCTGTGTGCTGTGTGCTGTGTGCTGTGCTGTGTGCTGTGCTGTGTGCTGTGTGCTGTGTGCTGTGCTGTGTGCTGTGTGCTGTGCTGTGCTGTGCTGTGTGCTGTGTGCTGTGTGCTGTGTGCTGTGTGCTGTGCTGTGTGCTGTGCTGTGTGCTGTGTGCTGTGTGCTGTGTGTGCTGTGTGCTGTGTGCTGTGTGCTGTGCTGTGTGCTGTGCTGTGCTGTGCTGTGCTGTGTGCTGTGTGCTGTGTGCTGTGCTGTGCTGTGTGCTGTGCTGTGTGCTGTGTGCTGTGTGTGCTGTGTGCTGTGCTGTGTGCTGTGTGCTGTGTGCGCTGTGTGCTGTGCTGTGTGCTGTGCTGTGCTGTGCTGTGTGCTGTGTGCTGTGCTGTGCTGTGTGCTGTGCTGTGTGCTGTGTGCTGTGTGCTGTGCTGTGCTGTGTGCTGTGTGCTGTGCGCTGTGCTGTGTGCTGTGTGCTGTGTGCTGTGCGCTGTGCTGTGTGCTGTGTGCTGTGTGCTGTGTGCTGTGTGCTGTGTGCTGTGCTGTGCTGTGTGCTGTGTGCTGTGTGCTGTGTGCTGTGTGCTGTGTGCTGTGTGCTGTGCTGTGTGCTGTGTGCTGTGCGCTGTGTGCTGTGTGCTGTGCTGTGCTGTGTGCTGTGTGCTGTGTGCTGTGCTGTGTGCTGTGCTGTGTGCTGTGTGCTGTGTGCTGTGTGCTGTGCTGTGTGCTGTGTGCTGTGTGCTGTGCGCTGTGCTGTGTGCTGTGTGCTGTGTGCTGTGTGCTGTGCTGTGTGCTGTGCTGTGTGCTGTGTGCTGTGCTGTGTGCTGTGTGCTGTGTGCTGTGCTGTGTGCTGTGTGCTGTGTGCTGTGTGCTGTGTGCTGTGTGCTGTGTGCTGTGTGCTGTGTGCTGTGTGCTGTGCTGTGCTGTGTGCTGTGCTGTGTGCTGTGTGCTGTGTGCTGTGCTGTGTGCTGTGTGCTGTGCTGTGCTGTGTGCTGTGCTGTGTGCTGTGTGCTGTGTGCTGTGCTGTGTGCTGTGCTGTGTGCTGTGCTGTGTGCTGTGCTGTGCTGTGTGCTGTGCTGTGTGCTGTGTGCTGTGTGCTGTGCTGTGTGCTGTGCTGTGTGCTGTGTGCTGTGTGCTGTGTGCTGTGTGCTGTGCTGTGTGCTGTGCTGTGCTGTGTGCTGTGTGCTGTGTGCTGTGTGCTGTGTGCTGTGTGCTGTGCTGTGTGCTGTGCTGTGTGCTGTGCTGTGTGCTGTGTGCTGTGTGCTGTGTGCTGTGTGCTGTGCTGTGTGCTGTGTGCTGTGTGCTGTGTGCTGTGTGCTGTGTGCTGTGCTGTGCTGTGTGCTGTGTGCTGTGCTGTGTGCTGTGCTGTGTGCTGTGTGCTGTGTGCTGTGTGTGCTGTGTGCTGTGTGCTGTGTGCTGTGCTGTGTGCTGTGCTGTGCTGTGCTGTGCTGTGTGCTGTGTGCTGTGTGCTGTGCTGTGCTGTGTGCTGTGTGCTGTGCTGTGTGCTGTGTGCTGTGCTGTGCTGTGTGCTGTGCTGTGTGCTGTGTGCTGTGTGTGCTGTGTGCTGTGCTGTGTGCTGTGTGCTGTGTGCGCTGTGTGCTGTGCTGTGTGCTGTGCTGTGCTGTGCTGTGTGCTGTGTGCTGTGCTGTGCTGTGTGCTGTGCTGTGTGCTGTGTGCTGTGTGCTGTGCTGTGCTGTGTGCTGTGTGCTGTGCGCTGTGCTGTGTGCTGTGTGCTGTGTGCTGTGCGCTGTGCTGTGTGCTGTGTGCTGTGTGCTGTGTGCTGTGCTGTGTGCTGTGCTGTGTGCTGTGCTGTGTGCTGTGTGCTGTGTGCTGTGTGCTGTGCTGTGTGCTGTGCTGTGTGCTGTGTGCTGTGCTGTGTGCTGTGTGCTGTGTGCTGTGTGCTGTGCTGTGTACTGTGTGCTGTGTGCTGTGTGCTGTGCTGTGTGCTGTGCTGTGTGCTGTGTGCTGTGCTGTGTGCTGTGTGCTGTGTGCTGTGCTGTGTGCTGTGTGCTGTGTGCTGTGTGCTGTGTGCTGTGTGCTGTGTGCTGTGCTGTGTGCTGTGCTGTGTGCTGTGTGCTGTGCTGTGCTGTGTGCTGTGCTGTGTGCTGTGTGCTGTGTGCTGTGCTGTGTGCTGTGTGCTGTGTGCTGTGCTGTGTGCTGTGCTGTGTGCTGTGCTGTGCTGTGTGCTGTGCTGTGTGCTGTGTGCTGTGCTGTGCTGTGTGCTGTGTGCTGTGTGCTGTGTGCTGTGCTGTGTGCTGTGCTGTGTGCTGTGTGCTGTCTGCTGTGCTGTGTGCTGTGCTGTGTGCTGTGCTGTGCTGTGTGCTGTGCTGTGTGCTGTGTGCTGTGTGCTGTGCTGTGTGCTGTGCTGTGTGCTGTGCTGTGTGCTGTGCTGTGCTGTGTGCTGTGCTGTGTGCTGTGTGCTGTGCTGTGCTGTGTGCTGTGTGCTGTGTGCTGTGTGCTGTGCTGTGTGCTGTGCTGTGTGCTGTGTGCTGTGTGCTGTGCTGTGTGCTGTGCTGTGCTGTGTGCTGTGCTGTGTGCTGTGTGCTGTGTGCTGTGCTGTGTGCTGTGCTGTGTGCTGTGCTGCGCTGTGTGCTGTGTGCTGTGCTCTGTGCTGTGTGCTGTGTGCTGTGCTGTGTGCTGTGTGCTGTGTGCTGTGTGCTGTGTGCTGTGTGTGCTGTGTGCTGTGTGCTGTGTGCTGTGCTGTGTGCTGAGTGCTGTGTGCTGTGCTGTGTGCTGTGTGCTGTGTGCTGTGTGCTGTGTGCTGTGTGCTGTGCTGTGTGCTGTGCTGTGCTGTGTGCTGTGCTGTGTGCTGTGCTGTGTGCTGTGCTGTGCTGTGTGCTGTGTGCTGTGTGCTGTGTGCTGTGCTGTGTGCTGTGCTTTGCTGTGTGCTGTGCTGTGCTGTGTGCTGTACTGCAGCCCTGTCTGCCAAGGGAGCAGCTCCTGCAGCAGCCACAGGGCAGCTGCTCCTCCCACTGGGAATGGCTCCATGTCCCAGCTCAGCTTTGCTCCCGACACAGCATTTTGGGGACTCTATTAAATACATATTTTCTTGACAATGATGTCAGAGTTAAGCTTCGAATGCTGCACTGATAACTCCTTGCTGTGTCTTTGTTGTCTTCTCTTCTTGCACTTCACCTTTGCAGCAGCAATTTGTGCTTACAGGTAAATCCTCAAAATGGGTGGTGGTGTTCATATCCTCCCTCGAAGGAAATAAACAGCTTGGAGACACCAATCACGATCCAAATCCATGGCGTGGAGCACAAACCTCCTGGGACAGGGCACCAGCATCTCCTCTCCTCGCACAGGGGAATTCCCTCGGCCGGGCTAGGAAGCTTGGGAATTGGGCAGCAAGGAAGGGGGAAGGAGAAAAGGGAATCAACAGGAGCCAGGAACCTACCAGCGAAGAGCATCCTCCCGGTCAGCATCTCGGCCAGGATGCAGCCGGCTGCCCACATGTCGATGGCTTTGGTGTAGTTGTTGGGAGACAGGAGGAGGCGCGGGGAGCGGTACCACTTGGTCACCAAGCCTTCGGAGAGGTAACCCTGGAACAGCAGGGACAGGGATCAGGACAGGCAGCAGAGCTCCTCCAGTGTGAGCAGACAGGGATCAGGGCAGGAATGGGCAGCAGAGATCCTCCAGCCTGAGCAGGGACAGGGCTCAGGACAGGAACAGGCAGCAGAGAGAGGGCTCAGGACAGGAACGGAGAGCAGAGAGAGGGTCAGGACAGGAACAGGCAGCAGAGAGAGGGCTCAGGACAGGAACGGAGAGCAGAGAGAGGGTCAGGACAGGAACAGGCAGCAGAGAGAGGGCTCAGGACAGGAACGGAGAGCAGAGAGAGGGTCAGGACAGGAACAGGCAGCAGAGAGGGCTCAGGACAGGAACAGGCAGCAGAGAGAGGGTCAGGACAGGAACAGGCAGCAGAGAGGGTCAGGACAGGAACAGGCAGCAGAGAGAGGGTCAGGACCAGGCTGCAGAGCTCCTCACCTGTCCTGGTTCCTCCCCACTGCAGCCCCACCCAGGCAATCCTGCCCCCGTTCCTGTGCTGCTGCCCAGGCTGGCTGGGGCTGCCTGCCCCGCGGGAAGGGGGGACCTGGGGCACACCAGGGGGACAGAGGCTCCCCAGGGCTGCGCCAGGCAGGGCGCTCGCTGTTTGTCACCATGGTATTGCAGCACCGCCTGCCAAGCCAGATGGCTCCGGAGCACAGACCTGCGGATCACACCTGCCCGAGTCATCCCAGGTCACCGCTGGAGGGCTCGGATGTATCCTGCAAATCCCAGTCCCCCTTCACGTGAGACCTTGTCCAGGAAAACAAAAGGGTCAGGGAGGATTGCTGGCGCAGTGTGGAAGGAAAGCCTCCTGTACCAGCGGCTGTGCCTTACAGGGAGCAGAGCTGCCAAGGGCTCCCAGCCAAGGCTCCTAAAAGAAGATCCCATGGGAAAAGTGGGAAAGCCCTTCTGGGAACACCTAGCTGAGGCAGGGATGGAAAACCCTGCTCTTCCTGCATGAGCCTGAGCCGTGCCCAACAAATCACCTGTGTCCCTTGTCACAGGCTGCGGGGGATGGCATGGCAAGGGCAGCTCCTCACCCCAGTGCCACCGAGGATGATGAGGGGCAGCTCCTCACCCCAGTGCCACCGAGGATGATGAGGGGCAGCTCCTCACCCCAGTGCCACTGAGGATGATGAGGGGCAGCTCCTCACCCCAGTGCCACTGAGGATGATGAGGGGCAGCTCCTCACCCCAGTGCCCCTGTGCTCACACTGAGGATGATGAGGGGCAGCTCCTCACCCCAGTCCCCCTGTGCTGACCCTGAGGATGGCGTTTGGGATGCTTTACCCGGTTCCATGGGAGAAGCTGTCAGCAGCATCGTGGCACAAAGGCCACCCCCTCTCTGAAGCGGGGCCCTCCTGCTCCTGAGCCCACCAGGAGATTTGTCACCAGAGCCAAGGGCTCACAGCCCTGCTGGAGCCAGGGGCCGTGTCCCAGCAGCCTGGGAACAACCCTGGCACCTCCAGGGACCCCTTGCTGCCACACTGGGGCTGGGTGTGGATGGTTATTGCATCGGGATAATGTTGGAATATTCATATGCAGCCTTTCCTGTATTAAATATAACACATTAACAGAAGGAGGTAGATTGAAATGCAGCAGGAGCAGCAAAATAAAATTAAATTATAAAGCCGAATTGCATTTAAATGCCACAAAGCATTTGGAGAATGTAAAAATGCAATGACAGCATGAACACAGTTCACATAAAAGCCTATTTGAGAACTCCATCCGTACTGATCTGGTTCCAGAGATCATTTTCAGCTGCGCTGTAGCTGGAGTTGTGCTGCACAGCGTTTCCTGGGATGCCGTAGGATGCATCTCTCCACCTAAACACGGGAGCAGTGCACCACCACAAGCACCACGAGGCTGATCACACTCCTCTTCGCCCAGCGCAGGGTTTTGTGCCAGCTCCCAAATGTGCGAGTCATCAAGCTTTTAATCATAAAGGGCTTGCTTTTGAAAGAGCGTGTTAATTTTGGCCTTGTCACGATAAGTTGTAACGGAGACTGATTAGCTCAGAAGTTTCCTTTAATGCTGTTACATTTTTGCTAATGCTGCTCAGTCAGAACCAGCGCAGGAGCCCGCAGGCATTATCCGATCAAACCAACGCTTCTCGGCTACTGCAATTATTCCCAACAAAGAGACGCTGGTGTTTATTGGAGAATCCCAGGAAGATAAATTCTGAGGGCAGCAATCCAGGGCAACTGTTAGCTGGAGCCATCTCTTCCCTCTCCCGGGGAAGGAGTGCCACCCTCCTTGTGGATTTAACACTGCTCATGTGTTTCTCCTCTCTGACAGCAAGGAGGATCCGAGTTCTCGGGGGTGTCTGCACCACGCAGGATGCATGAGCAATACCCTGCAAATATCTCAAAGTCACAACAAGCCAAACATTTTCCTCCCCTCACGTCTCGGAGAAAATTCCCTGCAAAAACTCAACAAATGGATGCATCTTTGACCTTCCTGCTGCCATGTGAGGCTCCTGGTGGTGGTGGTTAATCCTTGCTGTGCTCCCCTCTCCTGCTGCCCCTCACCCCGGGTCTCACTGCCATCTCCCTGCTTCCATCTGCAGGAAAACCTTGGACTACCCCCAGCACGCCCAGGAAGGACCCATGGAGAGGAGGAACCTGCAGCTGCTCTGCATCTCCCGCTCGTGGTCCTTGCAGCTGGACCCCACCACTGAGGTCTCCACCACGGAGGTCCCCATCTCATGGACCCTAGCACTGAGATCCCCACCTTGTGGACCTCAGTATTGAGGTCCCCACCTCATGGACCCCACCATGAAGGTCCCCACCTAATGGACCCCAGCACAGAGGTCCCCACCTCGTGCACCCCACCACTGAGGTCCCCACCTCGTGCACCCCACCACTGCCTCCTGGGCATTCCACACCAGGCTCTGCGTTATCCCTCCCTCTCCCCGGGGTGGGGAGCACAGGGGGGAGTGACTGGAGGTTTGGAAATGGAGACTTCTCCGACCTGGCTCGAGGTCCTGCTGAGGGCAGCACAAACTCGAGCAGCTGATACAGCCCTGGCACCTTCCCTGGCTATAACCTGGGCTAGGTCCCTACTTTCAGAGAATGCCTGAGCTCCTGTCCTGCTGCCTGGAGGAAGGGACTGCAGTGCTGTGGACCAGGAGGTTCTATCATCTCTGGATGATGGGTGGATGGATGGATGGATGGATGGATGGATGGATGGATGGATGGATGGGTGGGTGGATGGATGGATGGATGGATGGATGGATGGGTGGATGGATGGATGGGTGGATGATGGATGGATGGATGGATGGATGGATGGATGGATGGATGGATGGGTGGATGGATGGATGGGTGGATGGATGGATGGATGGATGGATGGATGGATGGAGGGATGGATGGATGGATGGGTGGATGGATGGATGATGGGTGGAGGGATGGATGGATGGATGGAGGGATGGATGGATGGATGGATGGATGGATGGATGGATGATGGGTGGAGGGATGGATGGATGGATGGATGGATGGGTGGATGGATGGGTGGATGGATGGGTGGGTGGATGGATGGATGGAGGGATGGATGGATGGATGGATGGATGGATGGATGGATGGATGGATGGATGATGGATGGATGGATGGATGGATGGATGGATGGATGGATGGATGGGTGGGTGGATGGATGGATGATGGATGGATGGATGGATGGATGGATGATGGGTGGAGGGATGGATGGATGGATGGATGGATGGATGGATGGATGGATGATGGGTGGATGGATGGATGGATGGAGGGATGGATGGATGATGGATGGATGGATGGATGGATGGATGGATGGATGGATGGATGATGGGTGGAGGGATGGATGGATGGATGGATGGATGGATGGATGGATGGATGATGGGTGGAGGGATGGATGGATGGATGGATGGATGGATGGATGGATGGATGGGTGGATGGGTGGGTGGATGGATGGATGGATGGATGGATGGATGGATGGATGGATGGATGGATGGATGGATGGATGATGGATGGAGGGATGGATGGAGGGATGGATGGATGGATGGATGGATGGATGGATGGATGGATGGATGATGGATGGAGGGATGGATGGATGGATGGATGATGGGTGGGTGGATGGATGGAGAAATGGCACGGCAGCTTTGGGATCCGGGATCATGAGGTCACTGCCACGGGCCCTGGGCTGGGCTCAGGGACTCAGCCCCGGCCTGAGGGGCCAGGCTGGGGAGCCCAGGCACCCCTGAGCAAGGCAGGGCTCCAGCACAAGGATTTCAGTGTTTGTGCAGATTCAACCAGACAGAAAGACCGAGAGCCGAAGCATATTAATTAGTTCTAATTAAGATGGAACATACATCTTTGTTACAATATTCTGTGGATTCAGCACAGCCCTTTCTGCACTGAAGAATCTCTTTAAGAAACAAGATAATGGAGTTAATTGAAAAATAGAAGTAGTTTCAAGCCTAAGCTCTTCCATGCTATATTTTGGTTTTTTCCTTGTGATTTTCAAGTATCTTTTTCCTGCTTCTCCTCTTGTCCCCCTGCGTGTGTGGCAACAGCTCAGGCAATCTATAAAGGTGATGAATTCACTACAGGTAGGATAAGCATCAAGTGGTGTCTAAGAGCACAGCAAGGGAACTGGAAAGCAAAGAGAAATGGATGTTTTTTCAAATTCTTTGCACAACATGTATTTTGTGTTTTGCTTGTAAACACCAGAAGGAGAAACAATTCCACATCGGCTGCATCCCGATGAGGCCCTGGTGACAGCACACTGAACCTGCCCTGCATGGCACCCCCAGGGCTCCACAACCACCTCCATCCACCCCCAGGGCTCCACAACCACCTCCATGCACCCCCGGGGCTCCACAACCGCCTCCATCCACCCCCAGGGCTCCACAACCACCTCCATGCACCCCCGGGGCTCCACAACCGCCTCCATCCACCCCCAGGGCTCCACAACCACCTCCATGCAACCCCAGGGCTCCACAACCGCCTCCATCCACCCCCAGGGCT